TCCAATCACTAGTGTCTGCTTACAACTGTTCCTCTTCCTTTGTACAACACAACACACGTAGACGAACAGAAAGGGCAACCTAGGCAGAACTGTCAAGCATGGAAATACAAAGGAAAAGGAACAGTTGTAAGCAGACACTAGTGATTGGAACATGGAATGTGAGAACCATGAATGTAGGAAAATTAGAAACTAATAGTACCGACGGAAAAAGTCAGATGAAGACATTCAAGGATATTAGAGTAGCGGACTTATGGAAAAAACCAGAGGACGAGAGAAAATTTAAAGCAGCTTTAATAAAAAGGGGGGACAGAAAAAAAAGGGGGGACAGGGGAGCTCCCGTGTGCAGTTCCTCATTCTGAAGATGCAGAATAGGGACGTTAAACCGTGAATTTATTGGGGAGGGTTTTTATAAGACAGTGTTTAGGGACATCCATTGTGATTTATAGTTCATCCGTTAGTTCTGCCAGGTGAGCGTGTGTGTGTGTGCGCGCGCGCCTTTCACTCTTCTTGCCGACGTGTGCATTCTTTGACTTCTCCCTTTGCCCCCCTGTCCGGACTTAACGATGGGAAAGGAAGCAAGAAGGGAGAAAGAAATTGAAATTCAGGAGATGAAACGGGGCAATGGGCAGAGGAGAGACAAGTGTGTAGACTTAAGGGATTAAAATTCATTGTGATCAAGTAGGAACCGACTCATAGTTGACCTGCCAGCAGGCTGTCAGAGGCTGTAAAGCATAGAGATCTTCCATCTTTCTCCTCCGCTGGTGGATTCGAACCGCTAGAGGCGTGGCGTTTGTTAATACAGCGGAACTCTCTGCAGTCTACGATACCACAGCTCCCTCTAATGGAGAAAGTTGTTAGGTGCCGTCTAGTCGTCTGCGATTCAAAGCGAGTCTATAAACAACAGATCAGAACCTTGCTCTACCCTGGCGCCCTCCCGCCCTCCCCGCCATGCTCCAAGTTTAAAGATTAATGTTAATAGCGACCTGAATCCTCACTCCCGCGCCTGAAGCTGCGCAGTGCCCGGAACTTTAAACGCCAGCACCGGAAATAGTTTTCTACCCGACCGCTTTTCAACGCCGGTTACACTTCCGGTAGTGGCGGCGGGAATCGGCTTTTCTCAAGCGGCTGCGACTAGGCCTCTGCAAAGGCAAATCCGGCGGGAATCTGAAGCATCAGAGCCGCCACCATGGTGAGAGGTCGCGGGGCAGGGGGTTTGAGCGATTCTGAGTTTATTGTCGAGTGGATGCGGCGGCCGGTCGAGGGGTTGGAGCCTCGGGTTGGAGCCGCTCAGTCCGGCCAAAGGAGACCGGGGTCCCGGCCGTTCGGTGGGGTGGAGGACGAGAGGCCAGAACGAAGGGATGGAGGCCCAGGCTGCTTGTTATGGCGATATTGGAACCTAGTTTTTCTTGTGTTGAAGCCGTAGTGTTTGCCACCCAGTGGGCACTAAGAAAAGATGTGTATCCTCGCCACATTTCGGAGCAGGCACTCGAAGCCAAGGTGTGTCGGTGTAGACCCTGGGAAAGGTTCAACTTTGTGAAAAAGTGAGGTTGAGATGGATGTGGTGGAAAGCGGAGGAGAGCTAGGACTTGAGGCAGGAAACAGGTCTAATGAATGGGGAAGAGGAAATGGGAGGACGAATGGCAGTGCTTGGGGAGAGAATTCAAGTCTGTTCGATTGTTAAGCATATTAAGTGTTCTGATTGCTCAGGCACTCAAGCGGCATAAGCATGTTGACTGCCCTCATTGAATTTACATTCTAGTTCGGAACGCAGAGAATACCACAGTGCAGTGTAGTAATCTGGGATTAAATAAAAGTAACGGCTATGAAGTGGACGGGGATGCATTGTAGGGCGGAGAATTCCCGAGTTCACTCCTACGATATTGTTAGGAGGTTTCTTGGGAAGGACAGGGAGGGAGGTTATAGACAAAAGTGTACCACGATTCAAAGTTCCTAGGAGGGAAGATGAAGGGGAGAAGATGACACTGGAGGTACTGAGCCTAGATACGGGGAAAAAAAGAAACACAAAAAATTCCAACCCACTCATGTAAGTAGAGTTCAAACTGACCCTTCCTTAGCTAGCCCTTCCCCGGCTTCCCAGAGGCTGAAAATCAGAAGGGAGGAAGTGCCCATCTTCCTACCAAGGAACAGCTGGTGGATTGAACTGCTTGCCTTTAAATTGACAATGCACCTCTTTTCCTACTAGGCCACTAGTTCTCCCTGGATACGAAAGATGAATGGTTCTTTTTCTTGTATGTGATGGATTGAAAGAGGTTTTTGGTTTGTTGTTGTTTTTTAAACCAGGTAATAACATGAGCTTAAGCTGTTAGCTATTGGGTAAGACAAGAAGCAGGGTGCCTTGTTAGCATATTGTTTACATAATTAATTAACAGAATAGGCTCAAGATCCAGGCTCTCAGAGTGCCTACACAGCTTCCCAGGTGGGAAGCAAGGCAAATTACTTGGCCACTTTCAGCCTGAGTGATAGAATCAGTAAAGCATGATTAATAACAGGACCAATTTCAAACATTCGATGAGACATTGACTATACAATGCTTATGGCATCTGACGCCAAATAGGAAAATAATAAAAGTATCACAAGGTAGATGGGCCAGACTGGTATGTTGGCAAAAAAAGTTCAGTTCCTTGTGATTAGAAGCTAGTTGAAGTAAGCCATGTCAAGAAGACTGAACCACGTAATCAAGGGTCTTTAAGTGCATAGGAAGTGCTATGACACATTCACACATTTTTGGATTCCAACTCAATAATTTCTTGATTTGGGGGTTCCCATGTTCCTTCTAAGCAGATTGACTTCTTTTTAATAACTTCTTTCTGTTTAGATTTTTTTTTCTTAAATGCCATCCCAACTCTTCCTTTGATTGGTTCTCATAAAGGGATTTGTTATCTACAGCACACTGCCATAATTTGCGTATCACATTGGCACATGCACACTGCCATAATTTGCGTATCACATTGGCACATGGCTGATCATCTCGAGAATGGGAACAGCCTCCTCTTTCACTCCTGGACAGAGCAGTGGGCAGAAATCAGGGCTATAAACAAGAGTTGACATGGGAGAGTCCCTGGGATGAGGGAGCAGGAAGAGCCAAGACTGTTGAGAAAGATGTTGTGTGCCTTTGAGTCGGAATCACCTCACAGCTCATCCTGGTGGGTTTTCAGCGGCAGTAAATCACATGGGAGGAGATCGTGCATCTTTCACAGTCGTAGAGTAGCTTGATGGATTCAAGCCCTGTGCTGTTGGGCTGGCAGGGAAACTCCTTACCACTAAGCCACCAGAGCTCCCTATTGAGAAGGATCGTTGTGTGGATAAAAGGGGCCACGGCAGAACTGAAGATTCGGAAGCACTGGGGTGTGTGGGTCTAGAGAAACGCGAATCTCATCCCCACTGATTTCTTGCAGACGGTCGGCAAGAGCAGCAAGATGCTGCAGCACATTGACTACAGGATGAGGTGCATCCTGCAGGATGGCCGCATCTTCATCGGCACCTTCAAGGCTTTCGACAAACACATGAACTTGATCCTCTGTGACTGTGATGAATTCAGGAAGATCAAGTAAGGAGGGCATCGTGGAGGGTTGTGGGGAGCAGGACCAGGGAAGAAGGCGATTGCATGGGTGGGTGGGTCAAGAGGCAGGGGTTGTGTATAGCTGTCTGGTTCCTCTCCATAGGCTTTTTCTCCCCTAGGGCAGGCTTAAGTGGGGACACCACACACACACACACACACACCCCTGCCTTTACCTGGCAGGCTTTGCACTGAGGTGAGAGTGAGAATGACATGCACGTCATGAAGGGGGCTACTAGGGTTTTGTTTCTCTCCTTGGGATGCCCCTGGTTCCTGGGGTAAAGGGCTCTCACATTCTCCCCACAGTTGTGTGAGGGAGGAGAGCTTGATTTTCTGGCTCATTACCTATTTGTAAAGCTGTAGCCTAAAGGGTTTTCCCAGGCAAGCTGGTCTGAACCTGCTTTCAGAAGCCTCTGACCCTCTTCAGGGTAAGTGCTCAGCTACCCACGTGAGTTTGGGGCCAGTTATTTTTGGCATTTATAAGCATATTGGGAGATATTTTCTACAATATCATGTTGCTCTATGACTCCCTTGTCTTAAGCTTCGGGCCCATTTAAAGATTGGTCTTGGTTTCCACCCACATGGATAGTTCTGAAGCCGAGAGGTTATATTACTTCTGCAGCCATTCGTCTCTTCTGCTGGAAGCAGTGTCCCAGTTCTTTCATCATTGGCTGTAAATACCTTTGGAAATAAAATAAAAAAAAATTCCTTTTTGTGACTCAAATCCAGGCCAGTAAAAGTTGCAGGGAGTTCTCTAGTGCCAGCCACAAATTAGCAATATAGAACTACTCCAAAATACTGTTTTTTAAAGGAAAAAAAAATGCTTGTGTTGGAGAGAAAAAGCTGTGAGAAAAAAAATTAAAATACGCAAAGAGTATACTTTTGTTATATTTTGAAAAGACAGAACTTAATTTTTTTAAAATCAGAAAATGAAATAAGCCAAAAAAGGAAGCCAAAGAAATGCCTATTTAGATAAAAATCACTGTTGATATAAAATATCATCAAAATGAGCTCTTTGATACCATGTTTTTGTCAATGTTTTTAGATGTTGACTTTTTTGTTTGCTTGCCTATCCTATTGCATTTCTTTCCAGTTTTCATTTATACCATGTTTTTTTCCCTTCCTGGTTGTTTCTGTTTGTGCTTTGAGAGGCTGGTGTGTGGGGCAGAATACAGGCTGTGGGTTTGAGTTTGAAGGATGTGTGTGAGTTAGGTGGGAATTAGATGACTTTTGAAATTTCTCAGACTTCCTCCTGATTCTGGTAAAAGGAGTCTTAGCGAGTGGGAGCAGCTTCACAGATGCCGTGGTAGATGGCGTCGAGCCAGGGCTGGATGTTCGCTCCCCTTCTAAATGTTAGGATTTTGTTGAGAATATACACAGCAATGCATACACCAACCAGTTCACCAGTTTCTCCATACACGTTACTGACATTGTCTGTATTCTTTCAGTTATATAGCCATTATAACCATTTTCTAGGGCTCCCTCTATCCCTGGGATATAGATCTTGATAGATCATAATGCTCAAGGCAGGCATCATTTTGCTAGTTAAACTATGTTCAAGTTTAAGATGACTTCTGGGGATATTTTTGGCTTGTGGTTTGCCGATTATCTCAGGGTTATGGTTTTAGATGTGTGTTCACATTTCAGGGCTCCAGAAAGTCTAGAACCTGAGAATTGGAAATTCTGTTCTGTATTTCCCCCCTTTTCGTTAGAATTATTTCATGGGAGCTTGGATCACAATGATTTGTAATGGTAGCTAGGTACTGTCCATTTCTAATGTCTTCATGGTAAAGGAGTCAAAGAGCTACATACTCCATACCTTCCTCCTATTCCTGGCTACTTCCTTTGAGGGTATACGGACCAAGTGTGGTTTCCATGAATATTTGCAAATGTTTTAGACCCCAGGAACTAAGCAACAAGCTAGGAGACTGAGCAGAAGCACTGAAGATGTTAGTAGGCCAGTTAACTGAAATGTCCTGTCCAGCTGTGACCTCCAAGCCAAGGAACCCCAAGCCCTGTGAGGGTCTTGGGTTGTAACAAGCAGCCTCAGCAGCTACCACCTTTTTTTTTTTTTAAATCATCACATAACTTTTCCCAATTTCTCTCTCCCCGCCCCCCAGGAGTATAACTCATTGGCAGCAATTATAATAGCCAGATATGTAATTTTAACCATTATCAATGAGATTAGGGCTGGGTTTTCCTGGCTCTTAGCCCACCTCTGTGGTACACAACAACTGTAGTCTTTTTTTGTTTATGTATTTCCTTTGGTGTGATAAGATGCAAAGGGTCCCCACCTAAGGGATTATTCATTTTGCCTGTGAAAACAATCCAGTGAGACTGGGAGGGGGGAAGGATTATGTTAGATGATACAGTATAAAACAAATCCTGTAGGCCCCTTCGTGAGTGAACCAAGCATTATGCTTTGTCACTAATGCTGCTTTTTTTGTTTCTTCTGATTCTATCTTTAGGCCAAAAAACTCCAAACAAGCAGAAAGGGAAGAGAAGCGAGTCCTTGGTCTGGTGCTGCTTCGGGGAGAGAACCTGGTCTCCATGACTGTAGAGGGGCCTCCACCCAAAGATGTAAGTCAGGGTGTCTCGGAAAGGCTGGGGGCACTGCTGTTATTTACAGGATAAAAGTTACAGATACTGATTGAGCATGTACTGCGTGTGGAAGTGTGCCAAGCATTTCAGCATTTTATTTAATTCTTGTAGCATTCTTTGGATAGAGGTGATCCTTACTAAACCAGTGTCAGATCTAATAAATGACAAGGCCAGGATTTGAGAGACATTCAGAAGTAGAGCAAGCTATTGTCATTCTTCTGTAAGTTGTACAGCACTCCTCTGTCAGTTTGCTGCACTGAGGTAATCTGGGTTTGCTCTGATGCTGAACCTTGTGCCATTGGGAGATCAGATGCCATAATGGCTCCCTATGGTGGATAGTGTTTGGTGGAGCTCCCAGTTTAAGACAGGTTTGGAAATAGGAGTGGCATCCACTTCCTAAACCATATGACTTTGGAAATCATGAACTCAGAGAAAGTTATAGAAAGGCTTCAGGCCTTTTGTTTATAGGGTCACTGTGAGTTGTGCTCAATTTGTTGGCAGTAAACTGCAACAACATTGTCACAGGATAGAGCAGGGGATAGGGATGTTGTACATAGGGTCGCTGTGAGTTGCAAGCAACTCAAAGGCACATTACAACATAGAGAAACTAGTGAGTGAAATTTGTTTTCCCTGTCTCATTATAAAACTTCATTAATCAAAAGAATAATCTTGTTGACCCTTACTGGCCTTCTTTTTATTCACATAGATGTTTTATGTTTTTAGCATATACAGTATGTGCAGTATATGTCTCAGTTATCTAACTCCACCATGACCTCAAGTGGATGACTTTGACAAACAGAAACTACTTCTCTTACGGTTTAGGAAGGTAGACGTTCAAATACAGGGTGCTGGCTCTAGAGGAAGGGCCACCCTGTCAATGTGAGGGGAAGTGCTGCTTCCCTCAGCATCTGTAAACTCCACATTCCCTGGAGACTTAATGTTCCTGCTGTCAAGGTTTCAGAGCAGTGACCAGGTCCAAAAGATGCACCCCACTCCTGAAAGTTCTTTCTTGGTGGTACTAAAGACATTCCCCACACTCCATTCACTTTCTAGTGAGATGAGGAGAAGACTACAGCCAGGGAAAACTCAACATTTCAGGTTGTGTCGGCATTAATGGGGTGTTGCATTGTACCCTTAATTCTCCTACAACTATTTGGTTTAGCAGCTTATGGGGGTTATGGATAGCTTCTACATTACACACCTACATTTTGGGGCACACGATTCAATTCGTGTGTTCTGGTCTTTCACCTAATTTTGTAAACGTTCTTAAATTTGTTTCATACTTTTGAAAAATCATCTTGATGACTTAAACAGTCTCATGTACAGAATATTTTACCTGTCCTCATTTTTTAAATTCTTGTATAACAGTTCATACTAGTTAGAAGTATCTGTAGAATGATTAGTGCCTTGTTTTTTGGTTAAAAGCCAAACACTGTTGTACTTTTTTTGGTTCTATTTCTAGTGGAGTTATTTGCAGCCAGCACACTTTAGGTCTGCACACTGGAGGGTTTTACCACAACCACCTCACTTGCAGGTTGGGAAATGGAATCTCAGCCTTAGGCTTAACTTTCTCTTTGTCATCTGGCAAGTGAAGGTCAGAGTTGGGACCCAATGTTCAGTTGGCTTACGCAGGGCAAATGGTCTTCTTGACTGCACGTTTTTTGGTAGAGCTCTTCCTTGACTATGTTCTTGCCTTATTTTTCATAGATGTTCTTATTGGTGGTTGAGTTAGGGCATGTTTCTGTAGACCTTCCATGTGTTTATATTTAAATCAGATAATTTCTTGGCATTTGTATTTTCACTTCACTAGTCCATTGAACATCTTGGCATGTTTCTTTTTCAGACTGGCATTGCCCGAGTACCCCTTGCTGGAGCTGCTGGAGGCCCAGGGATTGGCAGGGCAGCAGGCAGAGGAATCCCAGCTGGTGTTCCAATGCCCCAGGCTCCCGCGGGACTTGCCGGGCCAGTGCGTGGTGTTGGTGGACCCTCCCAACAGGTAAGGAGCTGGGGGAATCTACCAGTTTCTAGTGGAGAAAATAGAAGAAAGAGGGCCCAGATGGGGAAGAGTCCAGAATGACCTTCTTAGCACTTTCAGGCTTACAGTGTTTTATTTAGGGACTGAGTATCAAATGAAAAGGCAGACTTGCCATTAGAAACTGTTACCGAAGAGAAGCCAACTATTGGAAGAAAATGTTTCCTCAGTGCTGTTGGAATAACCTCTTGGGGTGTATTGCCAGTCACATATGAAAATGTAGGTTGCTTCTCTGAGTTGGATTGGACCAAATTGAGTGGGCGTTCAAGCTTGATTTTCCCTGGCAGATGGTTTTAGATAGAAAGTCTGAAGCTGGGAGTCTCAGTGTTTCTTACACTAAGTTAGGGAACGAACTGGACACTGGTGCACGGTACCATCTTGCCTAACTCTTTACCTGCTTATTCTCTTAGGTGATGACTCCTCAAGGAAGAGGCACTGTTGCAGCTGCTGCGGCCGCAGCCACAGCCAGTATTGCAGGGGCCCCAACGCAGTACCCACCCGGCCGTGCTGGTCCTCCCCCACCTATGGGCCGAGGGGCACCCCCTCCAGGTGAGGAGCCCAAAAGGAGCCCAGTGTTAATTGGTACAAGATGTGCCTTAGCTGGATTCATGATGAGATGTAATCTTGACTGAAACTGATGATGAGTTTGTGTAATTAAGCAGGATTACTCTGACATCCAGCTTGGCTGCTGTGGAGATAACTGGACAGGAGCCATTTGTGTATCCTAATTCTTTGGCTCTGGTCCCAGTTTTCTAAGGGAAGCTGAGAGGATGGAATGGTCCATCCGTCTCAAGGTTGATGGACAGCTTTTATGCTTATTCCTATCTCTCTAAACAGATACTGAGATTTTTTTTCCCCCCATTTGGGACTTTTTCCTTATAGGTATGATGGGCCCACCTCCTGGAATGAGGCCTCCCATGGGTCCTCCTATGGGGATCCCTCCAGGACGGGGAACTCCAATGGGCATGCCCCCTCCAGGGATGCGGCCACCTCCTCCAGGGATGCGAGGTAAGTGCTTTCATCAGTGACCCTCGCTTCCTTCCCTCAAGCCTTGTGAGGATGTCAGATGGGAGGGAAGATTGGATTTAGACTGTCTCCTCTGGCCTTGCAACTCTTAAGCCCGTGGAATGGAGTTCTTGGACAATAATTTCGTCCAGGAAGCAAAGAGGAAATGTGCATACCTCAGTTTGGCCATCCCTTCCTCCTTGAGAGCAGTTGGAACATCCTTGCCATAAAGATATATCTTGCAGTCCCAGAGATTCCCCAGAACTTTGTGAAGGTCGTGCCCTTAGGTTTATAGCATATAGTCATTATAATTGATGGACAGCTTTTATGTTATTGCTACCTCTCCAGATACCCCCACCTTGGGAAAATTTTTTTCTCCTTGGGAAAGTGAAGGTTGTGCCTTTTGGTTTATAGTATTTAGTAATTGCAATAGGGGACTCTGGAGAGAATGCATCTGTTTTACTATTTTTTAATGACAGATCAGCCTTCTCATTTTATAGATGAAAAGATCCCAGAGAGAGTTCAGTGTCTCTGACAGCTCCATATTCTTACCACCAAGTCACTGTGGATGGCCTCCCAAATAGTCCTTGGCCAATATTTGTGACATCTTGTTTTTCTAGTACAAGTTTCCCACTGTGAGTTTTCTGAGCATAGGCCCCAGTCAGTCCCAGTGGAAGTACTTGGCACTGTGTACATCTCTCTGGTCACTTGATAGCTGCAGGGTCAGGGAGGCTGGGGCAGGGGTGGGGTTCGAGCTCCAGACCAGGCACTGACAAAACTTCTTACTCTTACTTCAGGCCTCCTTTGACCCTTGGCCACAGAGTTACGGAAGTAGCTCCACAGAGGCGTGGGCCCCATCGCCCAGGGCCAAGTTGCCACAGGCCTGTTTGTTTGTTATGCTGTTGTTTGGGGAGTCTCACTGGGTTGTCTGATTTCCCTTACAGGGCCCCCTCCCCCAGGAATGCGCCCACCAAGGCCCTAGACTCATCCTGGCCCTCAGCTCCCCGCCTGTTTCCTGTAAGGCTGTACATAGTCCTTTTATTTCCAAGTGGCATACGAATCTGGTTTATAATAAACTCTTGTGCTGATATTTTACGTGTACCTGGTGCATCTGTGGTTTGTTTTTAGAAAAATCTTGGTTTGTTGACTGCTTCGTAGACAAATTTTAGCTCATTCCATTCTGTTTTACAACAAATTCTCAGAAATGCACAATGTCATGTACCAAAGCATTAGAAAAATCCATTGAGACATTTTGCTATCAGATTGGCAGAGATTACACAATTTGGTGCTACATTGAATCAGTAGAAATAAAGATACTGTTGGTAAGTAGGGGAATTTTTAAAAAGTACTAATAATTGTCAGAACTAAATCCTGTACACTAGCATTTTCACCTAAAGGAATTTATCTTAAGTGTGGCCACAAAGTTAGGGGATTGCTAAGTAAATTACAGCATATCCATGCAGAAATAAGGGTAATGAAATTCAAGGTAATTAAAATAATTTTTAAAATAGTGTGCATTTGTCTCATGTATTTCAGTCAGTGAGACTGGCTCAGGACAGTGTAGTCTTCAGAGCTGGTGTACATAGGGTTGCAGTGAGTCACAGGTGAGACGACGGCACATAACATTTTAAATGCAGAAGAATCCTTATTGAAGATTGTGTGTGTTTAAGTTGACTGGGATTATAGTACAGTCACTGGAGATTAAGAAAAAGCAGTTCTCAGAAATAGTATTTTATAACATTTTGGGCATGTCAGGAGGGGCTTGTCCTTAGGAAAGAGGAAGACTCGCAGTGGGATGGATTGATAGGGTGACTCACAGTAGGCTCGAGCATACCAGGGATGGTGACACAGGAGAGGGTACAGTTCTGGTTTGGTCATTGGGTCACTATGAGTAATCCACTTGATGCCAGCGACCCACAGGTGTTGCCATGCTTGAAGGATGTCTGGTGGTGGAGTCTGTGGCAGGCTGCACTGAACCAAAGGCTGTAAGTATCCGGCAGCTCTCAGGGAGAAAGATGGGCGGTCTCTTCCACGGTGATTCACAGCTTTGGGAACTGATGGAAGGTTGGTGTGTTGGCATCACCTCAATGGCAGTGAGTTATTTTGTGTTCTTCATGAGGTATAGGAGCCCTGGTGGACAGTGACCGAAAGGTGAGCAGCATGAACTTAGAAACCACTCAGCTCGGAGGGGAGAAGGCTGCCTTTCATCCATGAAGACTTACAGGCTTACCAGTCTTCTCTGATGGTCTCTCTGCGTTATTACTAGTATGTTTGGGGGCGGGGGGTGGGGTGGGGTTGGAAATTGCCATGAGTTTAAATCAACTCCATGACAACTGGTTTTCTACAAAAGGCATTTAGATACATGTTGTGAGTGTATTAATATAAAATAGGTGTACCATATAATCAGAACTGACTTATAGATGACCCTCCAGCTGGTTTTCAGAGGTTGTAAATTGCCCAGGAGGAGATTGTCCATCTTTCTTTCTCCTGTGGAGTACTTGGTGGTTTTGAACTGCGAGCATTTGGGGGATCAGTACCATACCACTAAGCCACTATACATATAGGTAGACTGTCAACATTGTATTGTTAGAAAGTCAGTGGAAAGAGGAGTCTTTGATTAAAAAATAATATAGCTAGTTCTTTACAGAAAAATGGACAAAATGCAAGTTGCTCTTTAAGCAGTAATCTTGTTATTTGCAGCTAATTAAAACATCATGTGTTAAATGACTGTTCTGTTGGGAGAGAAGAGGCAATCTGGTGGCCATGGACCTGCCGTGAAGGGATTCCTAGGCTGTAATCTTCCTATTGCAGATCACCAGGGCCTAGGGAACTGCTTGTTGGGTTTGAACCCTTTAACCATTCACTTGGGGACCTCTGGTGTAACCAGGCTACTTATGTTGATAACCAAAGTCTGTGCCTCTGGTCATTAGAAGTGGCTGAGTGGGTAGGGAGTTGAACTGCTAATCCAAATCCACTAAGTTCGAATCCATCAGCTGCGGCATGAGAGAAAGATGGACACTTAAAACCCTTGGAAACCCATTGGAGGGTCAAGGATGAAATGTTTCACATAGCAGCTTAATAGTCATTGTGCCACTGTGATCTTTAAGCTATCATGATGACTGTGACTTAAAACTACCATATTAGTACTTGCTCGAATGACATGGTGGGAAAAGCATTTGGCTGTTAATCACAGTCAATGGTTTGATCCCACCCACCATCTATTATATAGCAGAAAGATGAGGTGCTCTGCATCAGTAATGACAGCCTTGAAGCCCTCAGAATTTCTGTGTAATTTTATTTGTGTGTGTGTGTGTGTGTACTGGTGAGTTGGATCCAGCTGGTACAGGAGGAGATTGATCCTCCAGCGGCGTGTCTGGCAGAGTAATTTTTTAGTAGGAATTGGTTTGATGGCAGTGAGAGTCTAGTTTTTAATAGTACTATTAAAGGCTTAAAGGATATAGAAATAAAATAATTGGCTCTTTGTCATCTGTTAATAAACCATAGTTTACATTTTAAATGCAAAAGAACCTTTAATGAAGGGGGTGTGTGTTTTAAGTTGACTGGCAGTCTAGTATAGCATAGCCACTGCGGAGTTTACGAAAGAGCAGTTCTTAGAAATAGTGTTTCCCTAAATCTGCCTGTGGCAAGGGTGGTTTCTAGTACAGGAAAAGGCTGAGTAATGACAATTTATATGTATTTTTTTTTTTGTGAGAGATGCTGGTGCAGTTAGCTGGTTCATCTCCATTTGATACATTGGTTATATGTGCCATTGTTGTGTATCATTGAGTCAGAACCAACCCATAGCTTACCCTCCAGCGGGTTTTCAGACTCAGTAAGCATGAGAAGTTGCCAGTCTTTTTTCCCCACAGAGCACCTGTTGGGTTTGAACTGTGTACCTTTTGTGTTGACAGCATAATTCCTTGCCATTAAGCTGTTAGAGCTCCCTATGTGCCATTGAATTGACTCAAGTTCATAGCACCTGTTTGTACAACAGATGAAAACTGCCCACTCCTTTGTCATACCACTGTCTCCTCTGTGCTTAAGTCCATTGCTGCAGTTACTGCCACTCTGTCTTGAGGATCTTTTTTGTTTGCTGATCCTCTGTTCTTTCCAAGCATGGCATCTTCCAGGGACTGGACACTCCTGGAAATGTGTGTAAAGAATCCTTGTCTCTCAGGAACATCCTGGCTGCCCATCTATGACAGTTTTGTTTGTTCTTTTGGCAGTCCAGGGTCTGTTGAATACTCAGCCCCACCACAGTTTCGAGGTGCCATTCATTGTCATCAGAACCTACTCAGCTGGCTCTCCCCTGGGTTTCTGAGGTATAAATTGGGGAGAAGATTGCCCTTATTTCTCCTGTACATCTGGGCTAGTGGATTGGAATTGGCAGATGGGCCTCTGGGTTTACAATGCAGAGGTTACACCTTCACATCTGTGATTTTGATGCCTTCAGGGAGTTCTTGCACTGGAAACCCAAAGGCCCTCTGGTTCCCTGGCGGTGGGGGCAGACGGCACTTAAATGTCTTTTCAGACTGTATGTAGGGGTACTCCTTCAGCACATAGCCTAGAGATCAGTCAGCTTGGGGTGAAAGTTTAGGGTTTCTCAGTTCTCTCTGGAGCGTTTGTCCGCTCCTGTGTATACACATAAATTTGAAGTTCCCCTGTGTGGGTGTTTTTGAATGTTCTAATTTTTTTTAAAAAACCCCAACAACCCATCTCTCCCTCAGGCCTTAGATGGCCTGTTGATTTTGTGATTTCTTTATGTGTACACTTTATTTTTAAAACTTTTTTTGTGGTTACAGATTCCTTTTACCACCCTAAATTTAGATTAATGTGATTTGAATTGAGATCTACTTCATTAGCGTCTGAGCTCTCGTGGTGTAGTGCCTGTTGTGTCCAACTGTTTTTTTTTAATTTCTATAATTATATTTTATTAATTTTCATAAACATTTACAGAGATTTTGGGTTTCCATTCATTCATTGTTGCACTATTC